CTAATTCAAGTGTTGAGAGAACACCAAGATTTGAATTTTCTCTTCCTTCTGAAAGTTCAAGGCAGGTTTTTCTGACATCTGAATATTATGACTTTAATTTCAAGAAAAAATAAGTTTCTACAATGCAGAGACAGTCACAACTGTATGAGCTGGAAAGTAGGCCAATGTGAGATAGGAAATATCAAAAAGGGACCAAAATTGTATCAAACTTATGGCTAGCAAAAACAGTCCCCCACCTTGGATGGGTATAGTACTCTGTTTTATGACATGTATCGGGACAATCAGATTTGGTTGCCTCATCCTTAGTGGGGCTGTTTGGGAAGGATAGAATAGATTGGAGACAAAGCTTTTATGTCTGAGAAAGCTGAACTTCACTTATGCTCCACTTGTTTTCTTCTTTTCTTAGATTCTATTCTGTGATGCTTAGTCTAACATTTAAACTTTGCATTAACTTCACAGGCTCAGAAGCTTTTCTCCTCAAGCTATGAAGAATGGCAGATCATATGCCTGGGATCACCAGCAAATTGTTCTAAATGTTCTCTAAAACAGAATCATATCAAACTCATTCCAACAAATCAACATCAATTTTCCTGTAAGATCTCCATCAAATCCAGCTTTTGTAAACTCCTTCAATGCCATTTCTTCTCTGATTAATAATGATTCACACTTGTTATATTCTATTCATCATAACCCATCCACTTAATTGTTTGGATTTAGTGGGAATTATTAGCTTAGGGATGATTTAAGAATTCCCAACTACCAGTTAGCTCTGATGTAGACGTTCTTGAAATCAAAGGCCTATGAAAGATTGGATTTGCCATACCTCTGTCTCGGGTGTAACCTTAGAATTGGAACTGGGAGAGTTTTCTTCCAATTCGCATCTCTTTAATGCTCTATCCACGATGGGAGGCGTGGAAGCAGGACTAGGACTAGATGAACCAACGTTTGTTGGTGTGCTTTGAGTTCCCACATCTCTAGTCATAGCATTAGCATCCACTTTCTTATCTGAAAATCACAACCAGAGAATTCATTCAAAATCCTCCAACCCCAACAAGAATAAACTAGAAGTATAAAGGAGAAGACAGATGATTCAACCTGGAATTGGGAGTTTCTGAACTACTTGTGTGATAGAACATGGCTTTGTTTGAATCTGTTGTGAATGATTTGAGTAAACTAAAGGAGCAGATACTGCAATTCTGTTGGCTAAGTTCCTAAACGACCTCCCACTAAGTGATTTTGCAGACAAACACTCCATAGGAACTTCCCCAGAAAGTGGATTACATATATACTTCTCAGCTTCGTTCCACTTCGAATTTAAAGTAAATCCATCGAGAGAAAAGCATTCCCAACTGTTAAGCGACCTGGCTTGCAGTGCTGCACAAGAAGCAGCGCCCATAAACACCAACCAATTCCCTCAGAGTCATTTTCACAAACACTTCGTAGGCAATTCAAAATCCGAATTCAAATGAACTCACCCTTGATGGCGTTAGTAAACGAATACGTAGCTGGGTCAATTTCGTCTGTAAAATGTAGCTCAGAGAAGTTAGAGAAGAATCCATGGCCGGAAACAAAATTCCAGAGAGAGAAAGAGATAAAGAAGAACAAAAACCTCCGAAAGGGTATCCGGGAGAGGAGGCGGTGCTGGTGATGTTTGATCGAAACGACCTGGCGTCTTCTCGAAAGCTTCTGATGTAGGAGCCGGAGAATCGCCGGGAAATGGTGGGGTCGCGGTTAAGTTTGGCCTTCGCCGCCCATTCACGGAGGCTGAACTCCGGTTCATCTCGGCGGTGAGAAATGAATGTCGGTTGCTCCATGGAAATGGAATTTTGAGCTTAACAAATTTTATCAGACATTCAAACTTTTCATTGTCCCTACTGCTACTAAAATACCTCTTGCATGTGCTTTGCCAAATTCCCACTATTTTTTTCAAATTTAAATTAAATCATTTTACTTTCTGTTTGCCACATCAGCATGTATAGGAATGCAAATATTTTTATATATATTTTTTGAGGAGCTAAAAGAGGCGAGGTAATTGCCACTGTGAATACAATCAAATTTTCAACTTTTCAAAAATTCAATTCAACCCAAACCGAAAATATGTAATCTAACTCAATTGTTACCATTTGTGGGTTGAGTAGGTAGCCTTGATTTTTCGAATGTCGAATCAAATAATTGTACCATGTTATGTTGTTATTGCGAGATAGTGTTATAATGTCGTTGATTTATTCTCTAAATGATTTGATAGACAAGACTCAACGACCAAGAATGGAGCTCTACCAACTAATATACGGTAGGTTCTCTTTTTTTTTTTTTTTTTTTTAATGAGAGATCTTAATATCAATTTATATGGTTCTAATGAACTAACTTTTAATTTTGAAACGTCAGCTAACTAATCATATCCTTATATTAGAAGGAAGAAATATTTCAACATTATGGACTTTTTTTTATTAATATTGTCGATAATAATTTTTGTCATGTTACAATCATTTGATGTTAAAGTGGGATCCACTAAATAATGAAATAACTATGAATTGAAGTAACGTGAAGAATACATATATCATTGTAATACAAGGAATTTCGTCCATAGAAGACGATTATAATAAAATTAAATAAAAAATGAAATGATAATATTTTGTTGGCAAAATGATTTTGGAATTAAAATGTTAATAATAAGTTTTTTTTTTTTTTCATAATTTTAAAAGCTATCCAAAATTTTTTAAGAAATCTTTACTCTGTTATGTATCATTGTCGATCTCACAAAAGCTCGTCTATTAAGAAAAGGTTATTCATCTTTTCAATCGAAGTGTGATCTCCCAATCTACTTTTCTTGGAGATTAGTGTCTTGCACACGGTTGTTTGGCTCTGATACATAAAAACTCTATTAGGACTGCAATAAAAACTCTACATGAACTACATAAACATCACAAATTGAATACCGTTTCCAATTTCCTAAACATTTCAAAAAGATATCTTCATATGAGCAAGATTTTACACAAAAACTCTAAGCTAAAAAAAACTGCTTAAACGAGCAAACATTCAACATTCAAAACTTAGCACTTTAAATAAGTGTTCGAGTCGGTCTCTAATACACAAGCTACATATTTGAATACACTCTCAACAGTTAAAAAATAAGAGTATATACAAATAATATTTCCGTTAAGTCTAATCGCTATCCTCAAAGAGATACAATGAAGTGTTAAGTAGTTTTCTTAGAGTTGTACGAGTAGGAAGGAGTGGACACGAGAGAGAGAATGGCATGTGGTCATGTGATGGAAGCTATCAACATTGTAATGAAAGTGAAGGGAGAATTTGGTTGGTTCCAATTATGGTAGTAGGACTCATCACAGCCATCCATTTCTTTGTTTTCTGATATGAACTGAGAGATGATGTTTTTTATGACTATTTATATCATTCTTTCTCCTACTTTTGGTAATCAATTAATCAAAAACTTTCCCTCAAAACCCACCTTTAAATGCCTCTTTTTGTCCCCTTTCATATCTTACATTCTGTCGCTATCTTATCGGAAGTCGGAACACGACGTATGAGTCCTGATGATCAAATTGTAGTAATGGTAAGAGATGTTGGAAATAGGACACTTTCTCGACCCAGCATGTTGAGACCAACACGTGACTAAGGAACGAGCTCTTAAAAAACAAAGCTCTTGTTCTTTCGTTAGGTGAATCTAGTGAAAGAATCGTTAGACCTTACGATACTCGTTAAGTAACTCATAGGAGTTTGATATCTCAAGTAAACGACCACTCTTTACTTGATGCCACTAAACCAAATGTTAAACATGCTATAAAATTAACATCTACTTCACTATCAAACTAAAAACGATCTCACGATCATGAGATCGTTCAAAATCAGTTACGCGCAAAATTGAATAGAGAAGATTGGCCAAGCACGAGTATATCTTTCATGATAGCAGGTCGGAAGCATACCGTATTCTTTCTGCTACTCGAACCAACAGCTAGCATGCTCGTTTCTCAGCCCCGAGCTTGTCTTGCAGCTTATGGATGCAAGGCCATGGAAGCACAGCAAAGGTCATATGCCATATACCACAAATCTCAGTAAGACAAATAACAATATCAGAAAATCTCTCTAAGCAATCTTGAACTGAAAACTGATTAGCGAGAACGTTCGTAACGATGGACAGCTCGAAACACGTTACGTACCATCGATGCAAAATAACGAAGATAATATGGAATTAAAGCAGAAAAAGTAAAGAACCAAAGAACTCGCACTAGATTGCGCAAGTAAACTCAACTCCACATGATATGATCGTGTTTTGTGTCGTGATCATACTTTTCAAACCGTGCGGCACCATGATTCTGACACAATCGTGATGAGTCTTTAATAAGGGAACTCAGGCTCCCTTATAATTTTTGCTTAGTTTTGCGGTTTTGTCGGACCTTAGGTGAGGTTTTCCTTCTTTGACCAAACACAACTCATGCGGAAACTACGCTTTGTTCAGGCATACGTGTCGCCCATGCGTAAATGTTCACTCGATAGCAACTCTAGTTGACTTGCCTCTACTCTAGGCTAAGTCCTAAGGCTTAACCTTTCTCCTTTTCAAAGTCAAGATCCTTCAAATGCGACGTCGCATTTTATCTTGTTATCTTGATTCTCAATAACATAGCCCACACATTTCATGATGCCAACCCAAGTCCCAAGATGTCATCGGCCTTCACTGCTCGCTTAACACACTTCGAGAACCAACCCATGAGTCAACAAGCATCCCGAACATCCATCCATTTGGGTACAATTGAGGTATGAACTCTCTCGTGTCCTTGGCGACTCATTCCTAGATACCGTACTAGAGAGCAACCCCATATATTAATACCTCCGCCTCAAAGGTGGAGGCACAATGTTAGCACACCCATGTCGTCCGACATTAAGTCTTTGACTCCTCAATACTCAACCAAATCCTCTTTTTGAGGATTGAATGCATCCCTATAGACCCATATTTAGTAATTCCTGAACTATTTCTGCTCTTTTTGAGGATTGAATGCATCCCTATAGACCCATATTTAGTAATTCCTGAACTATTTCTGCTGTGCCTGTGGAAACCCATTCCCAAAGGAACACACCAAGATCAATTTGTATTTCAAAGCTGCAAGACGGGAAGGATGTTCGAAGCGTTTTTCGTATTTCAAACCTGCAACATCAATTTCTCAACAATAGAAAAAAGGATAATAGTAAAAACAACGTACCTATTTAGAGCTGAGCCTTCTCAAATCTTATGCACCATGGATGTATGAGAAAACTGCAGTTCTCGACTTCATTGGTATCGAGTTACTGTAACGCAATAATTAGAGACCACATTGCAAGGATCTGATCACAGTTATGTCCATATAATTAACCTGCAGTACAGCTCGGTTTCTTACTCAAGCAGAACATGAAACCGATAAGCCACGACTCTGGACGAGATCATCTAACAGAGCCTTGAACGAAAATGTCCTGCAAATAACCAAGAATAATAGTGAACATTCGAGTGCGTGCATGAGGCGGGGTATCCTTGCAAGTAGACTAGAAGCTGTTTACCGGAAAAACGTCGCCGATGAAACTTCAGGAAACTGTATACACGCATATAAGCTTCCTGATTACCAGAAATGAATATTGTTAACAAGGGAAGAAAACACCATGGTAACCGAACGTTGTCCTCTTGGAGAAAACTACTCCGACCGTAATGTAAGAAACTCTATCGAAGTCCAACCACACACTAAAGGGATCACAACAAAAACTCACTTAACTATATGTAACGGCCCAAGCCCACCGCTTGCAGATATTATCCTCTTTGAGCTTTCCCTTCAAGGTTTTTAAAACGCGTCTGCTAAGAAGAGGTTTCCACACCCTTATAAAGGGTGTTTCGTTCTCCTCTCCAACCGATATGGGATATCACAATCCACCCCCCTTCAGGGCCCAGCGTTCTTGCTGGCACTCGTTCCTTTCCAATTGATGTGGGGACCCTCACCAAATCCACCCCCTTCGATGCCCAGTGTCCTTACTGGCACGCTGCCTCGTGTCTACCCTTTTTTGGGAACAGCCTCCTCGCTGGCACATCGCCCGGTATCTAGCTCTGGTACCATTTGTAATGGCCCAAACCCACCGCTAGCAAATATTGTCCTCTTTGGACTTTCCCTTTCGGGCTTCGCCTCAAGATTTTAAAATGTGTCTACTAGAAAGAGGCTTTCACGCCCTTATAAAAGGTGTTTCGTTCTCCTCCCCAACCAATGTGGGATATCACATAGATCAGATAGGACTCATTCATTGACAGCAATCTATTAACCATCAATGTTACAGTCATTACGTTTATAATGTCCACTTGCTTCGATCGAAAACAAAATTATTCAGCGTGCAAGGATGTTCCACCGAACGCATTACGTTTACCCCAATCTTAGACAATTAAAAGAAGGCTCCTGGGATTAGAATCATGATCAAAAGTTCCAAATAACAGGAAACACAGCCAATATAACTAAAATGTATGCATAGAATACACGTTTTTGTATCATTCTTACTGTAAAAACTATGAAGATATCAAATAAACAAAAGTTATAAAACTCCCTTAGCTTACCAGAAATAGAATGTTTGTCCAAGTTTCCGTCCAAGCATCCATTGTTGCCAACAACGGAGAGCCACCATTCAAGTCAGTGCCTCCAGAAGCTCCACAAGCTTCTCCATGAGGCAAAAATGGCTTATGAACTTCATGCTTCGACCACGCCCTCTCACAAAACGCCTCAAATTAACAACCTTAATACCATTATCCTCCCCCAAGATCTAAACCCCAAACGAAATGCTAATTGACCAAATGGGTTTGCAGCATTCAATCGCAGCACATTTCATCAATTTCAAACCTATCCCGTCATCGCCGTCGCTCACCATCATCGCCGTAAAAAGGGAGTGCAAGGGTTTAGGGTTTAGGGTTTAGGGTTTAGTCTAAAGCAAAGTCTACCGCTGCGGACTGTGGACTGACTCTTCACGCTTTCTCACGCACGTCCGAAAAATGCCTCTTTTTTTTTTCCCAAATTTTATTAATTAAATTAATAGAAATATCTTCCTCTAAAAAAAATGTAATTTTAAAAAATTTTAAAAATTTGAGTGTTTCAAAATATTTTTGCCCATAGTTTTAAATAAAAATTATTAGCTTAACTTTTTTTTTAATTTCATAATATCATGAACTTTAAAAAAAAATTAAAATACAATTATCTCCGTACCCTAATTAAAAAAATATCCATAAAATTTTTAAAAAAATTACTGTTTTTTGAATGAAACGCTAGAAGCTCCCATTTTCGTGAACTTTATAAAAAAAATAGATACAAAATAAAAGATCTCTGTAACAATCTAAGTCCACGATGAGCAGATATTATCCGTTTTAGCCCATTACATATCATTGTCAATTTCATGATTTTAAAACGACTATAGAGAGGATAGCCCTACTCCAATCAATATTTCACATGGTTCGGCGGCTTGTTTTAATACCATTTATAACCGTTCAAGTTCACTGCTAATACAAAAAACCATGCTAATAAAATCTACCATTACCTATAAATAGTAGCGGTGGTATCAAGATTCTAAGTTTGTGTGCGGGCGCGCTGCCACACAACACGCTGCTCCAAAAACCAACTCATTCACGCACCACCCCGCGCTCTACTACTGCTGCTTGACCTTGCACTCCCTCAATTTGTCCTCTTTCTCTTAGTTTATGATTTGAATTAGGGTTAAACTACACGTGCAGAGTTATTGACGTGAAAAATTCGAACAACTCTGATATGAATCCAACAACCGATTACTTTCATGTGCCCGAACGAGCAATTACAAGAAGCAATATTGTAATATTCATGTTTTGGCCTATTTAAAGGCATGAATCTTAATATTTCTCTTTTTTGGCTTATTTAAAAGCATGTAATATTCATATTAGGGGCATGAGTTGTTGAATACAGACAAAACCTTTGTGTTTTTTTATACCATTTTGGTTATTATTTTTCAAACCTTGCTTTGATGTTTAAACTGATTCATTGAATTACGAATTGTCTTGGTATCTAAGAGTGACCATCGTAGAATTCAAGTTCGATCTAAGAGTCATTCATCTTCTAACCAGCTCTTGGTTGGAATCAATCCGTTAAGTTAACTTTCTTTGTGAACGTTTTGCAAGGATTCTAGAAGGATCTCTAGCGTTGCAAATTCTAGCATTGTAGGCGCTTATCAAACTCGACCAACATAATTTAATTGATTTGATTAGAGTTGAATTATAAATTTATTTAAATTGGGTTGTGTAACGATCCAGATTCGCCGCTAGCAGATATTGTTCTTGTTGAGCTTTCCCTTTCGGACTTCATTTCCGGGCTCTAAAACACATATGTTAGGAGAATGTTTCCAGACACTTATAAAGGGTGTTATGTTCTCCAAAACGCGTCTCTTAGAGGAAGGTTTCCACACCAAGAGTGTTTTGTTCTCCTCCCCAACCAACGTGGGACATCACAATCCACTTTCTTCGGGCCCAGCTTCCTCACTCGTCTGTCATAGTTATTTATTTATTATTTATTCTTCTATAACTATTAAATAATAATTTTTAATTACTAATTTGAAAATTATTTGCAAATCTTAATTAAACATTTATAAATAAATAAATGTTTTAAGAATTACCATTTTAACTTTTTTAAAACTCAATTTTTTAATGAATCCTTCCGACCATTCCAATAAATTTACGATAATTTAGGTTTATTATTTAATAAGAGTTACTCGTGTTAAATTATTAGAATTTTATTATTATTATTATTATTTATTTTTACATATTTTAGTTGACGTATATCTTATATATCTTCATTCACATATTTTGTATCCTCGTGCTAGTGACGGGTTCAATTTTAATCTATGTATCTTTAAATATCTAATTCTAATCTATATACGTTCAAAAATTTTAAAAATATTAATATTACTTTTTAAAATTCATTGATATTATATTTATTTTTGAAGTTTTAAAGAAGGTCGGAAGATATTCTTAAAATCTTAAAAAATTTCAAGATATAAAATTTAAACATTTTTTTCAAACATGCATTATTTATTTATTTATTTATTTATCATCAACGTGATGAATTCATTTCAAGACATAAAATTTCTCAATTATAACACGTTATTCTATCAAATATTTTATTTTTTTTCCTGATGCTCGTATTCAAATACTCATAGGTTTACTATTTGCTTACGGGCTTCGTATAATTTAGAAAAATTAATTTTCTAAAAGCCGGTTCATGTCTCTCATCATTTCAGTGTTACATTTATTCATGACCGGACTTGTATGAATTAAAATGTTGAGGATTATTTGGAGTGAGTCCTGCATTGATTAATTTAGTGGAAGATCACGAGTTTATTAGTGAAGAATACTACACTGGCATTTAGGCTCAAAGTGGATAATATTGTACGGTTGCTAATTTACTCCGCTCATTAAAAAAAATTAATTTAAGCTATATTTGGAGGAAAGATTAAAATTATAATATTAATATAAATTTTTGATAAAATTAAAAGGGAAAGTTGATCCAATTTAGAAAGTCAGGGGCAAAAAAGTCCAATAAAGGTTTATTTGTCACATAGAGGCGCGTGAAAATGGGAAAGGCGCGTGAGTCTGAAACAGAATTCAGAGCATCGGAGCACCATGATGACAACAGTACGATTCATATCATCATATCATCTCTTCCTGCTTCCCATCTCTCAGACTTCACAAACAATCTCTCTCTCTCTCTCTCTACAATGAGCTCGATTCCACCATTTTCTCCTCCTTCTCCTTCTTCCTCCGATCAATTTTGAGCTTATTCCTACCGGCAGCAATGGTGGCGATGAAATGAAGGACCGCCAGCGCTGGCAGCCGGAAGAAGACGCACTCCTTCGAGCCTACGTCAAGCAATATGGCCCTAAAGAATGGAATCTCATCTCTCAGCGCATGGGGAAGCCTCTTCATCGCGATCCAAAATCCTGCCTCGAGCGCTGGAAGAATTACCTCAAACCTGACTTGAAGAAAGGCTCGCTCTCTCCCGACGAGCAGACTCTCGTCATCTCTCTTCAGGCCAAGTACGGCAACAAGTGGAAGAAGATCGCTGCCGAGGTCCCCGGCCGTACGGCCAAACGCCTCGGCAAGTGGTGGGAGGTTTTTAGAGAGAAGCAACTTAAGCAGTTGCAGAAGACGCAGAACTTAACGCAGAGGCGCGATTACCAAAACTCCGACGGGAATATTCCCGTTGTCGGTGTTTCCTCTCCGGAGAAGGCGGTTCAAGGTCCTTACGACCATATCTTAGAGACCTTTGCCGAGAAGTACGTCCAGCCCAAGATCTACGCCGCAGCGTTTCAATCTCCTCCTCCTCCGCCTCGTCTTTCCGTCCCCGAAGCCGATCCGGTCCTCTCGCTCGGATCGGTCAGTTCTACCACGTCATCTCCCACCGTCCTTCCTCTCTGGATGAACGTGAACTCCACTAGCACCGCCTCCTCTTCCACCGCGTCGACCACGCCATCGCCATCGGTGAGCCTCACGCTATCTCCCTCCGAACCAGCAATTCTCGAATCGGAAGTGAACCGGATCTTACCAGTTCAACAGATGGGAGCCTTAGTCCAGTACTGCAAGGATCTGGAAGAAGGACGGCAGAATTGGGTCCAACACAAGAAAGAGGCGACATGGCGATTGAACCGATTAGAGCAGCAGCTGGAGTCGGAGAAAGCAAGGAAGAAAAGAGAGAAAATGGAGGAGATGGAAGCAAAGATTCAGAGGTTAAGAGAGGAAGAAATGGCGTATTTAGGGAGAATCGAAAGCGATTACAGAGAGCAGTTGAGTGCCCTGCAAAGAGACGCAGATAGCAAAGAGGCAAAACTGGTGGAATCATGGTGCAGCAAGCATGCGAAATTGGCGAAGCTGGTGGAGAAATATGGAGTTCAGGGGCATGGATTGGTCATGGTTACAGGTAATTCAAATGATATCGTCCATTGAAGCTCTGCTTCCATGGCCGGCCGGCCATGGCGGTGGAGTTAAATTCAGGTTTGTTTTATCTCTGTACTTGTTTTACACAGACTGATTCTGTTGGGCACAATTAGAAAACCAGAGGAAGAAGATAGTAATCAATAGAACTTCAGAAACTTTTTTGAGCAATGGAGCTAAAACTAATTCAAAATGCAAGCTATTTAACCATTGCCAATCTGGGTTAGTTCTTGATTTGAACTTCGAGATTATATGCCTAAAATTTTGTCTATGGAGACCGAACTTATGAATTGCAGGGTGTTACCCTATTAGCGTTTGTGATGGTAATTGGTGTCATGTCCATAGCTCACAGATTGATAGTTGGTCATATTAGTGACTATGTGCATTCTTTATTGATCAATAATGTACTCAATCAAAATCATAAGTGCGTACTAGATTTCGTGCATCCAAGCACACCATATTAGTTTCGATTCAAACTTTTGATCCCTTGATTGAGATCATCCGTCTATTTTCAGGTAGACACAACAATCCTTCTTTGTATTTGGTTGGAAAGGTTGGCGATCTATCTTAGGTTATAAATTCTAAAATTTGTGTATGGAGACCGAACTATTGGTGTCATGTCTGTCGAGCTATTCTCAGATTGATAGTTGGTTACATTAGTATCTGATTACTGATCAATAACATACTCGCATCAGAATCGGAAGCGTTTACTAGATTTCGTGCATCCGAGCATATTATTACGGTTATTTTGATTCGAGTACGTTTAGTAGAAAGGAGCTTTTTAGTTGATGTGTTTATGTAATTGGTAAATAACAAGTATACATTATATTTCATTCACACTTAACACAAGAAATTAGAGTGCAAAACTGTGAGACTGAACTTGGGCTGACCCATATATCAAATTTCCTATTGGGCCTGGGTTAAACATGGACAAGCCCACCTTTTACAATTATAATGGACTGAACTTGGGCTGACCCATATACAAAATTTCCCATTGGGCCTGGGTTAAACATGGACAAGCCCACCTTTTACAATTTTA